AACGTATCTAATTCGCTTTTAAATGCATTAATGTTTTCCATTTGTACTTGCCACTGTTGTTGACTTTCTTCCTATTTCCTTTCTTGTTCCAGTTGCCACTGCTGTAATCTCTCTTCTTGTTTATTTTCTTTCTCCTCTAACAACTGCTGTAATCTCTCTTCTTGTTTATTTTCTTTCTCCTCTAACAACTGCTGTAATCTCTCTTCTTGTTTCTTTTGCTGTTCTTGTATTGCTGCCATCAAATCTGCTAAGCTGTAGTTTGATTTGCCGCCTCTCGTTTCCATATTCTTCTTTTCTATCCCACTTCTGACACCAATTTGTTACGCCTCCGGTCGTTAGTTAATTTTCCGTAAAAATTATTTCCGAAGAAACTTTAGCGATACAAGTCCTTTCTTAAATAAACCTGGTTTATTCTTTCTGAACTTAACTTTGCGATACACTTAATTTCCACAGTCGCGCTATAATTCACAACGAACGTCTCACGTGCTCGACTGAACTGCCAATTACTTATCACATTGTTGCTGTCACGTCTTATATATAAAAGAACACCGAAATCCAGCAAACGCTAGAGCATTCAGGAATGGACAGGATCCTTTTAGAAGTTAATGACGTGTTACTAGGGTCACGTGACTTCCGCTGTCGTAACAATACGATATAGATATCTCCATTATATAATGCCTTCTATAAATTTTTGATTTGCTTCTCCAAGCTGAACTAATGAGCCTTGAATAAGTGAAACTGCAGTCCACAGTAAATTAAAGAATGTATTAGGCCTCAGAGATTATATTTTCAATTTTATTTGAAGCAAAAATAAATCTATGATATAATAATTAAAAGTTTTTATATAACTTCTCTCACATGTTTGCTAGTTTATTTTTACGACAGCGGAAGTCAAGTGACGCTGGTAGCGTGCGTGAAATTTCTCGAATTATCGGGGAGGTCCAAGAATTTTGGAGATGCCTCTTTGTTAGTATATAAGCCTGGCGAAAAAAGCCAGCGGAAATGTATGTATTGTTAACATAGTCGCTGTGAGTTTCGGGTAATTTTCGATTCTGTTTCGAGCTAGTGTGTGTTTTGTACTCGTAGGAAGCGAAGTTATCGAGATTGTGAATCGCTGTGATTTATAGCGTGTATTATAAAAGTTTAAAGTGACGAGAAACGTACTGACTGTGGAATTACAGTGTAGTAAATGTTTGTATCGAGAAAGAATAAACTGGTTTAATCAAGAAAGGACTTGTATCGCTGAAGTTCCCGGAAAGAATTTCTACCGGAAGTTAACAAACAGATACGCAACAATATATATATATATATTTAAAATTATAAACAAAACTGATTCTGCGATAGATCTCACAGTTTACTAAAGAGTTTGGAATATTATGTTATGCAACTCAATTTACTTAGATCACTTGTTTATCATACACCTGGCACACCATACTGTTAAGTTAGATTGTTTCTAAAGAAATTAATATTAAGGCTATCTGGTATTAACTTTCACTTCATTTGAAAAAAAGTCAGTCCTGGGAAGCAGTAGCACTTCTAAAGTTTCGTGGGAGTGCATATACAATATATGAACTTTTTGTCAACTTACAACAAATATAGTTTGTTTTCAAAAAGATCTGAGACACACTAATCTTAAAATAATCTAGTTAAAGACTGTAACATGACAAAGTAGTGTAAAGGGCAGTAATTTGTCAATTTTAATACATACATATTTAAATGTAGTCATAGTAGCATCATTTTATTATTACTAATCTTTATAAAGTTGAAGAAAACTAATTCAAAATTTCTGTCTAGATGGTATCCATATTGTTTTGTATCACAGAAGTTCTCTCAAAGGCTCACTGTTTTGGTAAACTCTTTGCTAGCTACAACATTTAGAAAGACAATCTGTTAACCATAATAATTAGGAAAACTGTGTGTTGGACACGACATTTAGGTAGTCTGTCTGCTAGCCACAATGTTAAGGAAGACTAACTGCTAGCCACAATGTTTCAGGAAGACTAACTGCTAGCCACAATGTTTCAGGAAGTCTAACTGCTAGCCACAATGTTTAGGAAGTCTAACTGCTAGCCACAATGTTTTAGGAAGACTAACTGCTAGCCCTAGTAGTTAGTCTTCCTAAAACATTGTCGGTTCCCAATTTTGCTGTTGCATATCGTTACTCAAGTTGCTGTTGTTCATCATTACTCAAGTTTGCTGTCTCTACATGGATATAGATTTTCCTACTTAGATGATGGTAGTGATTCTTTGTATTGTTTTTTACACTTAGCTGAAATTGTGAATACATATTCAGTATTTATTACAACTACATATATATCACTAATTCATATAGATATTGCTATATCTAAATTGTTGGTGTTAATGTAGCAGTTGTAAATGGTGTCGATAATTGACGACTTACGCTAAGTGTGTCATTGTTGTCTATTTTGCATGCATTGTAGTTCACGTGACAGTTTCCAATTAACTTACAATAAAATGTAAAAGTTGTAGCTTGTAACTAACATGCATGCTAGGAAAACACTGGATTGTTTGGACAGAAAGTGAGGAACTTAGAAAATTTCATAGAATGACAAAATTAAGAAGGTTGAATTAAGTTTAAAACTACACTTTCTCTGTTTTTGCAAAATTCCTGTGCGATCCTACACTATTGTACATATAACTTGTAATACTTTTATAGCACAGTCATAATAGAGATTTGTAGCTTGAACAGACTGTCAGCTGTAGATCCCCAGCCTTGTTTGTTTATATTTTTGGCAAGACCTGCATTTGAAGATTTTAAGTAATTTTGTCTCTTGACTTTTTTTAATGGACAGCAATGGGCAAATGTATATACCTAGAGAAAGACACAACACCATTAAGTGCATAACATTTTACGAGTAGAAAAGCAACCTTTTCAAATAAAACAAATACATCTAAAACATTGCTTTAAATAAAGCTTTGTGTCTTTTAAAGTTATTATTTACTGAGGCTGAGGTTTTGTGTAAACAGGCATTGAGTAAAAAAGCAGCTTCTCAGAACAACATTGAACCTATTATGTATTCACTGCCATGTAAATCAGCTTTGAATGAAAAATAATCAACTTTTAAATAGGTCATGAACATTTGCAGAGCTTCATGACACCATACAGCCTTGCATCACCCAACCTTCATGCCTTTTCAGTTAATTTTAACTTTTTTATTTAAATAATCACTCTTTAATTATGTTAGTTGTTCAATGAGATGATTAACTATTATTGAACCAGGCGATGCATTTGATAAAGTCACATTTTCCCCCCATCTTCTCAAACTTTTTCAGATTAGGAAATTAACTTTGAAAATTTTCAAGTTTTCTAGAATGTGTGGAAACCCTGAGCAAACAGAAACTATATTTAGCAATGCTAGTAATTACTATGAAACTGAAAACTAGTCTTGTTTTGAAAAGTTCTATACCATTTTATCATCGGTTTTATAAGAAAACTACAACTGAATCAAAATGTGAAGCTGGTTTTATTGTTTTCAAAACGTTTACGATATATCACCACACAAATAAAACAGCGAAATTACTCTAAAGAGTAATCACTTAACGAGATGCAAGTAAATGACATGAAACAGACTTTCAATCCTTATTGGCTAGGTCTGGGTGGTGGTCTCATTCCTGGAGGAGGACCTACAAAAATATAAAATATTTATTTTGCTTAAGCAATAGTTTTTCTGGTGTATGTACATCGGGTTTATGGCTGAAAATATAGTTAAAAGAAATGGCATCCACCTAATGAAACAGTGAATTGTAATCTTTACAAAGTAAGAATGCAAGAAGAGCACATTTAATTAGTAGGACGAATTTCAAGTTGTCTTTGATCAGAAGTTAAAATAAATTTCTTATTTATTAATGGGCTTTTAATCAATTCATTTCAACATAAAGATTTCATTAACTTAGAAGTTATGTTTTAGGTGTTTATTTTTATGCAAAACAAGTGTCAGGTGACGAGTCATTTGACGTAATTTGCAAATGTGTACAACCATGTACTGAAATCCATGTCCACAAATGATTACTTTGTTAATACAGAAAATGTTTGTTAGAAAAACAGATAATTATTTCAGATACTAATTCATGTGATAAGCTTAAAATGAGTGAATCAGTAGATGAGATACTCAATACCTTTTTCCTTAGTGACATTTGGTTAAGAGTTGAGAAAGGTTGGGTTTCCCCATTATCCATCAGAAGAACGTTCTGGCCTTTAAAACTGCATAATGGCAACATTAATGGTTTAAAACTCTATTCTATATCATATGACATTCATTGTATTGTACTGTAGCACACAAATGTTGGATCTGGTTCTTGACACTTTCCATCTGTGGTGAATTGATTCATATGAAAGCAAAACATTTGTCTACATGTCTTGATATTGAAAATGGGTTGTTTTGTGGCAATGAGACAGAAATACCACACTACTGGTTGTCTGGCATAAAAGCCAATCCTTATGAAACCTATTTCTGATCATTTGCATGCTGACTTGTCTTTCAGTTGCTGCTCTGAATTGTTGATCCAGATAGGGAGCTGATGCCAACCTGTTGCCTCAAGCCTAAAATAGTGGTCATCTTATAGGTTTCTCAATGGTGGTCTACCAATGTACTGGTAATCTGAAAGTGAGTTCACAGTCTGCTTACTTTGTGTGAATTGTAGTCATTCTGCAAAGTACTGTTGTATTTGATCAGCTTCTTGTTAACTTTTTGTCTTAAACACTATGAAAACGTTCAAGTGTCTGGCATGTTTCAAGAATCTCTTTATGCACACTGAGAGCACTGCCTTTACTTCACTTTTCTGTACAATTGCACATCAGATCATGTGACTGGCCACCTGACACTATTTAATAACACTAGTTGTGCCTCACCATAGCAAGAGTATAAAAAATTATTATTTTGAACAGTGTACATAGTTAGATATTTATTGTTAGCTTACTAGATTGTTATTTTCTTCCAGTTATTTCTGTTTCAAGGTTTTGCCACATTTTAAGTGTTTTAAACATATTTTGTTTAAGAGTAGAATTTATGAAACATATATTTTGGAAAGCAATTGAGAAAAACAAATTATTTATGGCTCGAAGCTATATGAAACTATGGTTATTAGTATATGGTTACGGTCCTTAGCTAATCACACAATTATATTAAATTACCTCCTCTCATCATTCCTGGTGGTAATCCTCGCATTCCTGGGGGTGGGCCACCCATTGGCATTTGTCCTGGAGGCATTCCACGTCCCATCATTCCTGGTGGAGGAGCCATCATCCCTCGACCAGGCATGGGACCACCCATTCTTGGAGGTCCTCCTAGATTAGGGGGACCAATCTGTGGCCGTATCTGTGGTGGAGCAGAGAGAGAAGCCCCTCGTCCTTGTGGAGTCATGACATCTTGTGAAGGACCCCCTATTCCCCTAACTGGACCTTGCAAACCTTAATGATCAAATACAATAAAAATCTGAACTTCTTTTCTTGATACTATAAAATTAGAATAATACACACACACACACACACACATCTTAAAAACTGAACCTCAATGCATAAAATAATAAAACCTTTATTCTCATTTACCTTGAACTCAAACTCCATTCTTGAAAACAGTTAATTAAATGATTATTGCTTTTTTAGGTTCTGTCAACATACAAACACAAAGCAACTCCTATTAGTTCAAAGTTTGTTGCTTAAGCACAAGACTACACAACTGTATGTGTATCAAGAAATTATTTTACTGAAAAATTGTTGTACTTAATTTTATGAACCCTTATATTGTATGCTAGGCTTTTTTCAAGCAATACATGACAAAGGCCAAAACCACGATAATCATTCATGACTACTTAGTACATATATCACACATTTTATATCATTGTAGTGTAAACATTAGGCTTACCAACTCTCACTTGTAGGCTATTGATTTTTTGTTTATCATTAAGCACAAAGCTACACAAAGGGCTATCTATGCTCTGCCCACCACGGGCATCAAGACCCGGTTTCTAGCAGTCCACAGACATTGTCCTACACGTATTTAACATAAACTAAATTATTTTATTTGCTTTTTTTGGTTAGCTCTGTATACTGAATATTATATGGAGTAATAAACAAAATTACTTAATATGTGAACCAAATCAGTTTTTAACAATATAAAAAGAAGGCAGTAATTTTAGGATTAAGATGTACTTATACACAAGAAGAATGACTGGACAATTAGTAGTAGTTTTAATTTCCCAAATGTTTTCAAATCACCTTCACTTTTAATATGCAATGTTTAAAATTTATTATGTTCAACTATATGACCAGATATTAATTAACATATTTTTCTGTTGTTAGATTACACACTAAAAATATATCATAAGCCTCACTTAAAAGGTGGGTTCAAGTTGAAACTGAAAAATGCTGTTTAAGTTCACTTATTTATTAAAATCTATTCAGTTGTAGCAGCTGTATTATTTACCTCTATACATTTGCAGAAATACACAAAAGCTAGTCTTCGGCATCAACATTACGTTATTGGTTTAGTCACAATTTTACAAAACTTTCAAAGGTCTAAGTCATGGCAAAGTTTTTTTATACATTATTGTAATAATAACAAAAATGAAAGAGAAACTGTCGTCACATAACTTGACAACAAAGATGTACAACACCAATAACTAAACAGGAAAAACCCACTAACTACCTGGACTTGAACACAGTTCTTAAATAACTGCAACATATTTAAATAATTTTGTTTAAAAGCAGAATCTTAGTTGAATGAGAATCAATAAACCTCACTGCATAAAATAAGTAAAATACCACTTCATGTCTAAGAAAACGAGAAATTCATCTAATGTCTGAATTGCATGCCAGGCACTTAAAATTGATCAGATTGTTGACAGAAAAGATATGTAAAAAAAAATCACAAAATATAAATCAATTATATTTTCCTAATTGGAAGTCACCATATTGTGTGCTTTTCCAGGTTTTTGTTTGTTATATATCTTAAGAGCTATAAAACTTTGTGTAGTATCTTAAATAAACACTTTGCACTCATAGGCTACGTTTTCAATAGCAACAACAAGAATAAAATGGTATTAGTATTTTCCCATTTCTTATGATATTATACTGTTAACTTTTTACAGATGGTTGTGTAAGATCTTTGGAAATGGCACAAAGGTGAGAGCTTATTAGTATACAATCCAAACAAATAGTGGTTTCAGCACATTTTCTACGATACTTCAAACATTTAACCTACTATTACACATAGAACTTACAACCACAAATCTCTTTGAATGAAAACATTTTTTAAATGTATCACTGGCAGGACAATAAATTCCTCACTTTTGCAGATACTTAAATATATATATATCCCTCGTCCAATGTGAGGATACAGGGAACACGTATGCAAGATTGAAGTATTAAGAATGAAACTATTTGTATAATAAGGACTGAACTGTAAAATAAACACATCCAGTTTGTTAGAATGTTACAGCAAAACTGAAATGTTAATATGGCTTACTGAACATACACTTACAATTTTATAGATACACTATTTTGAGTAACTGATTTTTTCTCTTTAAAAAAAAAGCCACTTGGAATGTCACTCAAATCACTGTAAATTAGATTTTATAAAACGTCTGACCTTTCCAACCAACGAGTTAGTTTGATGACGTTACAAACAAACTGGATCGTTTAGTGTAGATGAGAAAAAGCTACCCCACCCCAGAAAACGGGACTCCATCAGTCACCCATGACCTTTTATTCTTGTGGTGGTTGTATAACTGGACACTGAACAAGATAGAGAATGTCTTTTCATAGTTTACTTTAGCTCAAGCACACCAGTGATCAATAATTTGAAGACTGAAGAAGAGGTCAAACAAAAAAACAACACAATATTGGCTAAGTAAAGCTAAAAAGAGCAAGCATGAGAAAAATGGAAAGAAATCATGAAAGCTGAGAATAAAAGTAATGTAAGTGAAGATCACATACAGCTATCATGATAAGTTAACATATATCTCAGTTTTACATGGTAATTATTACTGCAACATAAAAATAAGCCTAACTGAAAGCTTTGTTACAAATCACTTTTACTTTCCAAGTGGAATGTTTCTTTATTTTTAGTAATGAGCTGAAGTCAGAATCCACGAGTTCAAGCAATGTCATGGAGCTAACTTTCACCACTGGACTTCATTTACCTTATAATTGGGAATCATTTCTACACAAGTTTGTGAAACAAATAATCCACTTGGAAGTTCATATATAGATAGTTTTATAAATAAAGAGTTCACATTATAAAACAAACTTCTTAGTGTTTTGTTGTAGCAGTTTTACATGTCAACATACAAACACAAAACCACACAAGTGAAGGAGACATTATATTACAGAAAAACTGTTGTACTTAATTTTTTGAACCCTTATATTGTATGCTAGGCTGTTTTAAAGCAATACAGGACAAAGACTAAAACCTAAGATAATCATTCATGACTACTTAGTATGATCAGAACCAGAAGAACACGTGGATATGACAGACATTGATAAATTAGATGTAAATGATCAACAGTTTAGTGTGCTGTTTGTTGGATGGAATTTTTCAATCTTACGAGTTCCAGTCATGTTTCTGAACATGTTCATCAGACACAAGTAGAAAATTGGAAAGATCTTTTAAGTAATATTTACACATTATCCAATATATGTATTGTTATTAATGTGGTTAATACATATACCAAAATCCTATAGTTCCATCATTTTACACTAAAAATTATGTTTAATTTATCTCACTTATACACATTTTTTTTTCATCAAATAATATTATGTTTGAACAGATTCAAATCTATTAAGTAAGTCACAACAGACATCAATATTTCATTTTTCATAAATTTATCATAAACATTTTATTCAACTTTCTATACTGTTTGTTTTAAATGTGGGAAAAGTAATTGTTTCTAACAATAATCGATGTTGGAGTGAAAGAAACTAGCTTACAAAAACAGAAGATACAGATGGTGATGACACACCATTTACTACTGTTTATGCTTATGGTGTTTGGCCCCAAACAAACTGCCAACTCCAGCTGTGATGCTGTAATAGGTTTCTATACAAGAAAAGTATTATATATGGGTGTGAGGAGCAAGTTTTGTAGCATCTGCTTATGCAATATGTCAATAACCATCACTAGAGCACCACAGCTGAAAAAACTGAACCTTCCAAACAAATGGAGTTTGGCATTATAGTGGAAGGATTTTGAAACAGGGAAGATATGCATGGTCTACAGTATCAAAAAATAATAGCAGATTTTTTTATAAAAGAATAAGAGAGAAGTGTAGTTATGGTAGGCAGGTAGAGAAAGTGGGCTGTGACAATCATGCTGTTAAAAGCTACACCAAGCACTTTACAAAATTTCAAAATGCAATGTAAAAAATGGATGATTCCTAAGAAAGTCCAGAATAGAAAGGTCCGTGAAGATATGCAAAAAAGAGAGAAAAGAAATATACCCGAACATTTGAAACAACATCTACTAAACGTCCCTTACTGTGTCTTAGGTGACCACATAGAATGTCAACCAACATTTTGCAAAACTACCAGTTCAAGTGATTGCATCATTTTAGAACTTACATGGTTCACATACACACAAAAAAAAACATGGATGCTGTAGATTACCTAGCTAGGAAAGCACACAGACTAGTTTCTGACAGCACTACTAACTGTGTAGAAAATTACATGTACTTGGTTGCTAAATTTTCAGGTGGGTAGCAGCTCATCCAATCCCAATCTGGCTCATAACATCATTACTGTCACGGAACTGGATTATTGTATCAATAAGGACCAAAGTGGCATCAAAAAGTAAGGAAAAATATAACATTACAAAATAGCTTTTCCGATGTCAAATGAAAAACAAAAAAAACAAACATAAAAATTGTATGCAGAAAACGATTACCTCCATGTAAAGAAACAAATCTGAGAAAAATAAAGGTTGAAATCTGGAGGAGACTACGGTTATATCAACCATCTGTTATAACCAGATTTAAATGATAATCAATTTGAAAGGTCTAGACAAGAATTTATCATAAAGCTACAAGTAACCGAGGAAAGGTGAAATGGATTAGAAAAGAAAACACATGGTTTTGGAAAGAAGCAGACAACTTATGACATTATAATTTGGTCGAATTTGCAAAATGCGGGAAACTACTTCCTTTAAAAACAAAGGTTACTTTATTCTTTCACTTTCATGAAAGATGCTAATCAGTATGGAAAGAACAACAAAGAACTTGTTAAAAAACACACACACTACAAAGATCGTTTGCCAACTGCCCATTGTTCACACCTCGTCTACTTATACACGTGTGGAGACTGTAAGACCTCCTATACTGATGAAACCAAACGTCACCTTAAAGTACGAGCATGTGAACAAATGGGTATATCTCTAAAAACTGGAAGAAAGGTTACAACCCCCCCCCCAACTCTGCTATCTATCAACACAGTACAGAAGCATGACATCCGATTTCTCTCTCAAACATTAAAATTCTTTCAACAGCCAAACATGATACTGAACTTCTTATAAAAGAATCATTGTACATAAAAACCCTTCTCCTGTCCCTAAATAACACACAGTCCTCACTGGATTTAAACCTATTATAAATATTTCATCTGTGCCACATTTTACATTTTCTGGTGTTATAATTGTTTAATAAATGCTTCCTATTATCACGTTCGTGTTTTGCTTTATCATTAGGTTAAAAAGTACTACTTAAGTATGAAAATGATTACAGAAAAAAAGACCTTCAGATGGTTTGTTGTATTATTCTGTGTACATCTAGCTTATCAGCAGCAGTAAAAAAAATGTGGATAGAAGTAAAAAAAGATGTGTAAACTTGCACTTGGTGGTGTAAATTTATTTTTTACTAGGGTAAAGGTTAAATTCAATATTACAAGACATAATTAAACCAACTGTTGTTGATAAACAGGTAGTTTATAGTACGAATTGCAATACAGGGGAGACCAGAAAGAATCTAAGATACAAAAACATCAGAACATGGATGTGTTCTATCACATCCACAATATTTTAAAGATGCACACATCACATTGAAAATAAAACTTAAAATCATGTGCTATGCACCTAATATTAATAAACAAAACAAAAGAAGCTATTTTAATAAAACTATAATAAACTGCAACAAGTAGATGTACATATATTTAGAACCAAAGTTATGTTCGTGAGGTCAACAAAGAGATGTATCTGATGGCAAAATGTGGTTTTACTGTACGGTGAATTTCTTATACATCTCATTTTAACTGTTTATAATTTTTAAAGGTAATATGTATTCTGAAATCTTAACCAAACATGAGATGCTCAAGTACAGTCTAGAGGTTTACATTGTGGGTTACTACCTAAAATCTTCAGATTACTTTGTAAATTTCGAAACATTTTTATGTGAATGTAAAAACAGCTTGTATGTGGCCATCTAGTAATATTTTAATTTAAGAGTATAAGACCACAAGCTACAGGAGTAGACTTAATATCCTTTCATAAACACAATGAAAACACTTAACATAAGCCAGGAAGAGCTAGAAGTACTTAATCAGTTAAAAAGGTTAAAGATATAACGATAATAAAAGCAGACAAAGGAAATGGAATTGTACTATTGAATAAATTATCTAACTTTATTAAGAGAGTGGAGACAGATCCTATAAAAACGAGAGTTGGAACTCTCGTTTTTATATTCATTTACCAACTCTCGTTTTTATATTCATTTACATTATTAGATATGATCTGTGTTATCAAACATCCTTATATACTTTAGTTAACCTATGTGAAAATACCTACGTGTTATCTTTTTAATTTATATTCATTTACCAACTCTCGTTTTTATATTCATTTATCAACTCTCATTTTTATATTCATTTACCAACTCTCGTTTTTATATTCATTTACCAACTCTCGTTTTTATATTCATTTATCCTACTTATAATCATGAACTGACAGGTTTCTTGTAAAATATAATAAATAATTCAGTATTAAGTAACTTACGTATCGCAAATAGTGTTTACTGTACTAGCCTTGATACTGAATCATTATTCACAAATATACCTTAAGAAGAAGCATAAGATAAGCTGGTTTATAATCAGGATAACCAAAATAGATTCTCTAAAAAAATATTTAGAGAATTATTAGATGTAACTACAAATCAATCACATTTTGTGTTCAACTCTTTCCATTCAGAATCAGTTGATGGGACACACCTCGAAAAACAAGTTTCCATTTTAAGTTTTAATATCATTTGTGTACCTTCACAAATATTTGGCAAGCTTTCAGTAAATATTACAAGTATTTTGCAAATGAAAAACAGATTTTGTAATTAAATAGTTTTAATAAAGATGTCTGTGAACATATGGAATCAATGTTGACTGCTCCGAGTACAAAGTGATCTTCATGTTAAAATCAAAAATACCTTCCTTCATCTGAAATTTTCTAATTTCATTTGTGCAACCTTGAAGACTTCCTTAATAAATAACATGTTTTTTTCAGTAAAACTTTATATTTTATTTGTCATTTTCTCTACCCTAATTATATGATTTATGACCTTATAACCACCATAAAAATACAGAAAAATCTAAATTACCGTTTTCTTTCTAAAATGACTGCAGATTGTAACAGAAAATTACAACTGTTTATCTTTAATCTTATTGCTTTATTGAATTTGAATTATTGTCAAATTAATAATCTCACCACACAAGTTGTAAATTACTTAGTGAAATCATGGCTCATATTACCATAGTGAATGAAGTAACTCAAACTGCTCGCAAGCATTATTCACGAGGAATGTTTATTATTTTTACATTATATTATGTAATCTAACATAATACATTTCTAATCATTACATTCTACTTTTATAACCGCAAAGAATATGCATAAAAAACTCATCTTTGAAATTTAAGCCTACTTTTTTTTTTATAATGATGGAACTAGTACAATAAATTTTTATTTACTAATGAACATAAAAACATAATAATAACAGTTTCCAAAAACCTTTCTTCCTCATGGCTCCAGATTCATTTTATGGTATATACTAAGGATTCTTGAAAATATAGGTTGATAACTTGTATATTACATCACACTTAGCACTGACCTTCTTGTTGTAATTTAGTTGAAATGTGATGACTTGCAAGTGTAGATTTTGAAAAGATTACATTACAAGACTTTCTTTAATTATAAAATCATGCAATACTTGAAGTGTTAGCATTTTGAAGAAGAGGAATATCTTAGTTTTAAACCATACGAAGTAAATCAATGTATGATTCCATCAGAGAGAAATGGTTACTTTACAACTAAAGACAGTGAAGAAAAGTAAAACAATCTTCCTAAAAATTTTGATCATTGAGATTAAAATTTCATCTGTTAATGAGGTCATAATTATGGGTGATCTTAATTTCAAGCATATAAATTGGGAAATGCTAGTCAAAAGCTTTAAAGACTATGTGATCTTAGATTGATTTGAACTAACCGGCAGGAGCTGACCCTACGGGTGCAGCTGGCACTCCTCGACCAGCAGCTCGACCTATTCCGGGACCAGGGGCAGCACCAGGAATTGGAACTCTTGGTAATCCTTCCTGTAAAACAGATTGTTAACAACATTAGAAAAATGAGAGTAAAGTAGTATGTCTTCAATATAAATTTTAGGCTTCCAAGCTTTTGAAAACATTCTACCAAAAACATGTAAAAACTGCATACTTCCAGTTCTGAGGAAACAAATTGTACACTTGCTAGTGAAGAGGTATTGGCTTTTTTTTGTGTTTTTGACACTAAAACTGAATACAGCAAGCCATGCTCTTACACTGGTCTCTGTTATTTTTTCTTTAAATGTTTGTTAAAGTATAAAAAACACTTTGGAACTAAACAGGAGTCACAGGTTAGAATGTAGAAAACAAAAACAACCATGATGACACCTGGTAATATATGGGCTCAAAAATGTCAACTCCACAAACATTTTTATAACGAAATATAATACAAGTTTCCATTGAAACAATTTAAACCATCAGGTCACACTACACCAAGAACACAATTCAGAGTGTTCAAAGAGAAACAGATGAGTACATGTTTTAAAAGCTCATCGACATACCCAACACATTTCACATTCCAGACACTAAAAGGAAAGACTTCTTACAGATAACATGCTCAATAGGGCACTCCTTATCGGCAGGTTAAAAATTATAAAGCTCTCACCCCCTAATTTTGTTTTAATGTACAAAACACATTAACTGTCAAACTTGACCATATTTAGAGGTTGCTTAATGAACTTGAATCCTGACTGTAATGTTTTTATCTTATTAAACTCTTCTTCAGAAGCATTCACTAAAATACAAACCAAAACTGACAGTACAAAACTTCAAATGGTTTAAATAATAAATTATGTTAAAATCTATAACGTGCATTTGTACAGTGTGCTTTTGACACATTAAGTAGTAAAGCTTATTTTTGAAACAATTAACTTGTACTTGTAGTAAACAAAAGTTATTGGTGCAATCCTTTGTCTTTATTCATCCGTGCTGGTAGTTGTTCGATAAGAGGAGCTTCTTGAAACTTACTTGGTGGATTTGGCGAGGATTTGAGGGGAATGGTAGTTTCAGTTTATCTGCAACTGTGTTCTTTCATGTTTACAAAGAGTGTCAATATGTTCTTTTATCCTTGTGTGTAGGGCTTTTCCGGTTTCTCCAAGGCATGTGTGATGGCAAATGTTACATGTAAGCTGGTAAACAACACTGGAGACAAGACACTCATCTGGTTTCCTTGCTATTACTCAATGGATACATCTTTAATATTTAGCACCAGGGCAACAGTGACCCATTTTTGTTTTGACTTTATGTGTATGCTTGCTCAGGACATTACTACAAGACATGTAAAATCACGAGTAGCCATTTTATATTTAACAAAAAAAAAGATAGATAACTGATAAATACTGCACCCCATCCTGTTCCTATAAATTGGATTTACATTGAATTGAACAATACAACCAGTTTAAAAAAAAGTAATTTGACCATTGAAATTCACTGTACTTTCCCTATAGAGAAAATATTTTTGTATCTTTCCCTATGGCTAGACACCCTGTTTGTGACAAAATCTTCAACAAATAAATCCTTAGACTTCCTGATATTCAGCTGGATGTTTTTTGGAGGTTTATCCATGCCTTTCTTTCATTTAGTACCTTTACCATTGCCCGTGGACACAGCTGAGTCAAAGAATGTCAAACCAATGAGTTCCTCATTGGGATATCACATATGTCCAGCAATTGTTGACTGTTAGGTTTGGAAAGAGCAAAATTCACCTTCTTATACTTAATGAGACATTGCAGGAAGTTAAGATAATTGCGAAGAGCAGAAATGGCATCAGAAGCAATAAACCATGCCCCAAAATAGACTTGAACAACAAGCATGCATATCTCAGTCCTCTTTCTCCATGACCAGCAAACTCAAACAGTCCCATAAACATCTACATTGTGAGGACATACAATAACTTGGCAATCAATCATGCATGATGCAGTGCTCTAGGTGCTATATATATCACACTCCACAAGGAGTGATGCCCTCAAGAAAGGTAAAAAAAACTCAATACTTATCTCTAGGTTGGCAAACTTGTAACAAACCCAATGACAATGTCCTTCACTTCCTCTATGGCTTCTGCTACTTCAACATGGTCAGTTGCAGATTCATAAATGCAGGGCAGAAAATTCACAGCCACCACAGCAGCAATTACCACAGTATTTTTCAAAATAGCTGTGGTTTCCCTTTAAAAAATTACAAAAATCCACCCCTCGCTATCCCTTTGACAATTGTGCCCTCATGATCTAAGTTTGTCTTGCATACCGCAGTAGAGGGAAAACAATTGGGGATCACAAACACTGGATTTGCTACGAATAATATATCATACAAAATACATGTACTGGAAGGAGTGACATTTTTGCATTAATCTGCAGTAAAACGTTCATGCAATTTGTTGAGTCATACCATAGGGTCTTAATAGTAGAAAGCAATTCAAATTGGCACTCAAACGAAGACACATAGTGATCGTAGTACGTGATGATCAAAGTCAACACATAAATGTGCTGGTCAGAGTAAAGTGCACTATTTCAGAGGTCAAACCCTTTCTACTGATGTATTTGACCACACCCATGGTCTAATAGATTAATTTACTCTAATCCTGCATAAAAGAATTTCAATTTGAGGATAGGCTGGTAGAAATCCTGATGAGATCAAATTGCTATATGTGAGCCCCATGCTTGGTATTACTGGCACACTAAAACATAGTTAATGCCAGGATTATTTTATTTTCATTTTACAATCCTGTCAAATTCAAAATTTAGATTTCTAAAAAAAAAAAGCAATTTCCATTTCTTTTTAATTATTTCAGATGTGGGATTGCATGTTTCAGAAGAAAAATAATCTGATCTCCTTTTTCTTAACTTTCAAGGTGGCATTTTGCTTGTGAGAGAAATAAATGTAAAGTATTATGGTAAAATATTTGAATACTTCGAGAAATGTGTGCCAATTTTCCACATGAACGTGTGCCACAATCTTGGGCGCATATTATTACAATGTTATTTTGCAAATTAAAATACAAAAATGATCAATCACTATATTTTTCACTGTGCGGAGCAGATGAAACAGTAGTGCTTTTCATGAGTCATTTTCAAAATGGTGGTACGGATCTCAGTAATTATAAGGAAAAACCTATACTGTGAAACATTCAATACAAAAAATTAGCTAGGATGAAACCACTAGGGACTTGATAGGCCAAACATTGAATGAAGATGAGAATGTTATTGTCAGTTGGTTTCAGACACTCAAATTACATGCATGCTAGTAACTGAACTTCTGTGACCACTAGCTTCATTGGAAAATTTTTAATTTTTTACCAAAAAAAACAAACCTAACCTAATACAAAGGAAAACAAGGTCCCATACATTAATCCTAACTAAAAGAATTTCATGTAGTGCGGCTACTATTGAGAATTCCTCGCTTAGAAAACGAGGAGGAAAAGAGTGCGTCAATAATTCAGCTTGATAAATTTTATGTGCAATCCCACCAAGGCTTAGACCTACTGCATTAGCTAGCTTTGGTTAACATTGCTGAATTACAAATAGCAAAATTCCAATGTGTGAAGAACCATGATTTATAGGTTATAACCATGTGCTATACCGTAGTGTAGGCCTAGTTTACTGTTTATTGGCACGCGATCATGTTAAAAATTATGCAAAAAAACAATACGTTTGGGAAAAGAATGTTTACCCTACGTCATGGCTATGTGTCTTTCTGTCTGTCGATCAAATCTTTAAAGGGCTGCTGTTCAGAGACTGTATAACTGATTTTCATTAATCAAGTAGTCAGATATGTTGGGGTTGAATTTTGTTACTATAAGCCTATAAACTTCTCCCAGGGATTTTGTCTCATTGTTCTCAAAGTAATAAATGGATAGAGGTACATAAAAATTGTATACAATTCTTAGGTCAAAGGTCATTTGGAATCAGGAAGGGGCAAAAGCTAGAAATCTTATAAGGCACTTGTTCTCTTCATGCGTAAGTCAATAGTTTTATCAAAACTTCACAAATGTAACCAAACAATCAATTTAACATTTTAACTGTAAAAAAATAACTTACATCACTGAACTAATGGACCATCACATATTTTCCAGTTCATGAACAACTGTTAGGTATTACCTTGCAACAAATTAAGACTAACTTCACTCTCATATAAACGTAAAACTAAATAAAGTTTATAACAGACAGAAATTTACCTCTGGAGGTGGTGGTCCTTCCACTGTCAAGGACACAACATTTTCTCCCCTCAACAATATCAATCCCAATACTCGTTTTTCTTCTCTTTCTAGCTGTTTGCTGCTCTTGGCTTTTACCTTTCTGAACTCTTCACAGTCTCCAAGGATTAAGTTCATATGTTTGTCAAAAGCCTTGAATGTTCCAATAAAGGCTCGGCCATCTTGCAGGATAACTCTTACCCTGTAGTTTATATGTTGAAGCATTTTGTTGTTCTTTCCAACAGTCTGAAATAAGTCAAGTGAAAAGAAACTAATGCACAGATACTAAATGTACACACACAAAAAAAAAGTATTAAAAGTGTGTATGAATATCCATAAGTCTTGTGTTTTACAAATAAATAAAATATACCATTTTGTGTACAGAGTAGCAGATATTAAAAATTAGGTTAAAAAAAACCAATGTTAGAAACTACAGAAGGTAAAAAAATATGTCAATGATGAAAAAACAAAACAAAGTTGCTATAATTTGTAGCTTGGATTAACTGTTCACTCAAGTATTTGAATGGGAACACTCATAATAAACATGCACTAATAAAAACAAAAGGTTCCTAAAGTTCAACGATAAATATCCTGAAAGCTCAAATTATTCTTAAGTGTAGAAGCCTAATTTAAATATTTTCTTGCCTAGTATGGTATTGATTACCATAGTACTGTTACAGTGAAAAACATTCATGATGGATAAAGAGTGTTGTTCCTTTATGAGAACCACTGAGGAAATTATTACTTATTGAAACACTGCAAATCTCAAATTTTATTTTCTGTAGTAGTAGCACTCAGTATTACTAGTAACAACATGGCAGTATTTGAAGTGCGCTAACACTAACGTTAACATGACTACTGATTGACAAAGAAAAAAATACTATATCTACCTAACAAGTTAACGTAAAGTTTAAGCAAGGTTAAAAGACTTATTTTGTGAGCGACAAATTACTTACCATATTGATCGCTTATCGTTCTTATATCTTATAATTTCAAACTTACAGGTTAAACCTTTAAATTAAATGCTTTCAATTCCCCCACGCCGCCAATTTCTCTTACAAATTACACCTACGATCCTCTCTATCTTGTTCTTGTAGCTCCCTCTGTCGTCTTTTATTTATACAGCAATCACGTGATCAAACTAAGCAATTATTGGTTTCGTACTAAAAACGTCATCACAACGGGAACTTTATTCTTCGCCGCTCGAAGTTCAAATTTGTTAGATTAAGACCAGTAAGTTAATATCAGCAGTGGTAACATTAACGTTGGGTGTAATTGGCTTATGTAGTTAAACATCAAATAAGTTATTATTAAAGCAACAGTAGTTTAGTTGCAATTATTTAACTTGAGGTAAGTGCTTTTGATTTTCTGTTGTTATTAACTGGTGATGTATAAATAAATAAATAGGTTTTGTCATTATGCGATGAAATGAAGGTTTGAAATTCAAGTTATAAATATTTATTTCTTATTTTTAACAATAGCACAAGGCTCGCGCATTTCATTCACTGATTTAGGTACCATGATTAGTGGTAGTGGTAATGTGGCTGGTTGTGATGGTGGCCTCCAAAAAGTTCAACCAAGTTCAAAGCTTTACATTGATACTGATAGAGTGATAAATGCCCTCATCCTCATGATTTAAACGATTCAGTGGTCAAAAACTTAACACTTTATTTAATTAGCTATTAATTCATTACTAGAAATTAGATTTTTAGAGATACATTACCTTAAAACTATACTTGTATTTTATTTTCGTGGCAGCATTTCGAGTAACACTAAATGTAAAACCGAAATTTAAAAGTAAAATTTAAAACTCTTTGCTCGAAACTTCGTCAAGAAAATATAATGCAAACGTAGTTATTTTTTTAAGGTAATTTATCTCTAAAACTGCAAAAGTCTAATTATATTCTATTTCCTTTGCATTTTCTGCTTAGTTATACTAATTACCTGGTTTATTTTAAGTTTCCCCATAAATATAATACTAAATAATATTAATTTAAGTAGGCAGCTTGCTCTGATCGCAATTTTATAGGCTACTGATGTGCTGGAGTATTGCTATTGGCTAGTTACTTCAATCTATTATACTTATTTATTATTAATAACATGTAGGCCAAACTACTTAATCAGTTAACTTGTAACTTACATTTACAATTTAAGCTAGAGTTGTATGGCATTGTTAGTAAACATAGATAAATCTAGAACTTAGAAGGAGTTAGAAGTGGAAATGAAGCCAGTGTATGAATGGTAAGTTGAGCATAATGTAATCATTGTGAAATAGCAAGTAATGTAAACTTATAACAAAGATATTGACTCGTGTTGAAATTGAAGTATAATTTTTATTATATGTTAAATAATTTTTATTTTGTTGGAAGAGACATGGTCTATATGGACATCTGTCAATTTACCTTTTCTTTTATTTTTGGGTCATTTTAATCTTGACAAAACAAGTAAAATGTATTTTTATTACGTGTTTGGTATGGAACATAATATGCAAAAAATATATATGCGACTTGTGTCAGGTGTCCAAAATAGTCTCAATATGATAGGTTTGTTGAGGATGATGAAGTGGTATAGAAATATACCATAGGTTTTTATTTCTATAGTATTTCTTTTTAGCTTGAATTTCTTTGTTCTGAATATGTGCAGGTTTTTTCACATGGCATGTGGTAAAAAAAAACCATTAAGTTGACCTTTATCATAAAATTTTAAAGGAACAAAAAGGAGCTTATTAGCCCATCAAGGATGTCCCTTCCAGTTCCCAACTATAACCACCCCTTACTACTCATGTATTCATCAAATCAAATCAAGTGCTTGGGACTGGTAAAGGTGGAGGGACACGATCGCCTACAGTACAAAGCACGGCACTTGATGATGATTACAGAGGATGAATAAGAAGAGTGCAAGTATGCCATTTACACTTCCCATGGTATGGCATGAACTCAAATATCATATAACTAACTGTTATTTTTGCCTTGTATCTACAAACAAACCAGTACCTCATGGGAATAGTCTTCCAGTGCCACATCCACCAGCGATTTGTGAAACAGTAGAGTTGTCCTGCAAAGAAAACAATGAATCATCTTCACCCTCTTCATCTAGTAATTCTATTCCTGTGGCACCTCAACATAAACTGCTTTATCTGATCACACAAGAAGAGCTAAATGATCTGATTCATGACTTGTCTCTATCAAAGCAGCATGGGGAACTTCTTGGCTCTAGTTTATAGCAATGGAATTTATTAGCTTCAAGTATAAGTTTAAATTTATCAAACTCACCATCAAAGTGTTGCTTCTCACTATAGCATGCAAGATACTTTATGTTTTTGCACTAATGAAAGAATTAGGTACTTAACGTTATCCTCAAAAAAGGAGACTTTTTATCGACTCATGTAAAGTTAGTCTGAAAGCTGTACTTTTGCACTATGGGAACACTAATCCATTGATTCATGTTGCTTGTACTGTGAACATGAAAGAAACTTATCAAAGCATGCAGATTGTACTTGAGGTTAACAAATACAATCACCATAGGTAGTACATATGTGGTGATCTAAAAGTTATAGTGCTTCACTCCTGCTAAGCCTGCAGTGTGTATACCAAATATTGTTGCGTTTTGTGTCTCTGGGGCAGCTGAGATGATAAAAATCATTTCAAAAAGAAGGAATGGCCAGTGAGAGAGAGTAACATCATACTAAGTGAGACTGGATGCAGGCTGTCAAAATGTCTCAATTTTCATGACTTTATACATTAAGAAGTGTGAATTATTGGACTTGTTCTTACCATAAACGTTTTTAGATTTGCTATGATTAACCTTGTACAAACTGTTATGTAATGAAAATTATTAGAAATATTTTCTAACTCCTTTGCTATTAGGGCTGATGCTTTTTATATTACATGTCCATTTACATTTCTGAAGCATATTTATTTCACCTTTGGAACTTGGTGGTTGAGTAAATACATCTGCACTTAGTTTTGCAACTGAAATTAATACAGTGCTTTTTATAGCAATCTGAATTTTTGGTATTCTACATGTGAGTAGAAAATCAAAGTGCACATGAAGAAAAGAACTGTAATAATACAGAGTTAGATAAAAAATATGTAATTTTAAAACTTTAAAGTTGTCTTATGGTGCAACAAGTTATACATACTTTTACATTTTAACAATTTCAACTTTTGTTATATTGCAAGGAAAATATTTTGGGTACTAATTTTTGTGAATTTTTAATTGCTGGTTATGCACTATTGATAGGTAAACTGTTTTGGGATAAATGTAGGACTTGGATGATCACATTTTCTTTGAAATATGAAGTTGAAGTTTGTTCATAATCATTCATTTCTTTTGTGTTTTTTGGAAAACATGACAGAATTGGAAAAGCCTCATATGGAAGGAAAGGAAAACTATTCAAATGAAAAGGTATAGTATTAGGGATTACGTATTTTGTTTTATTTATAATACTTGTTTGACTGAAATCTGTAACTTACCTATTTTGTCCTATTTAGCAAACAACAAAAATACTCGTGAAACAAAATGTGGTACAATAGAAATCAAAATTTTAATTCATAGGAGGCAGAAATGACATAACTTTGAAAAATTATGATGAACAGATAAGTCTAAAACATTTTGTTAATGTACATCAACATACAATTCTTTTATCCAATGACAAGATTACACTTAGCAACCAGTTTTTGTCTCATGCTTTGTGAAAAGCTGCTGTAGGAGCATAGATACCTTTGTTTACATCTTTGTTCATAAGTGTGGAAATAACAACTGTATTGTGTCAAGATTTTAAACATTCTTTGTATTGTTACGACAACGGAAGTCACGTGACGATGGTGGCATGTGCGAGGAGTTTCTCAAATGATCGTGAATTTTCTAGTTTGTTTGGGACGCCCTCTTTTTTAGTATATAAGCCCGGCAAATAAAAGAAAAGATGGATAATTGAGTCAAGTGAACAGTAGTCACTGTAAGTAAAGTGTGTGAATCAGTGCGATTTATAGCGTGTGGTATAAAGGTTGTTAAGTTTAAAGTGACTGTGAAAATTCTGTGTGTTACAAAAAGTTGTATCGAGAAAGAATAAACTAGTTTTAATCAAGGAGGGACTTGTATTGCTGAAGATCCTCGGAAATAATTTTTACCAGAAGTTATCAAACAAGCACATACGCAACAGTATATTAAAATGACATTTTCTAAATGTATGAGACATAAGTATATGTGTCAGGTGTTTTTTTTTCTGTGAAATGTATTTTACCATTTTTGAATATATAATGAAATATAAAGGGTGACTATAAAAATTTTTTATGTAATTATATCAAAATTTTGCTTGATTAAGGAGAACTCTCTACTTAAGCTTTTTAAAAGAACACCAGGTATGTTCAAGAAAGCTAACTTTAAGGGTAATGATAACATCATTTACACTAGAATTATGATGTTTTTAGCTTATGTAAAATATAGAAGAAATGAATCGACTTTTCAACACCCCTACAACCTTCACAATACATTACTTATTATTCTACAAAAGTGCAATATGCCAAGCTGTTTGTATTGTAGGCTGTTATGGCTTTATTGTCTTGAAATTTTTACATGTTCTACAGTAATTCCTGTATATATCTATTTTTCACTATCACGTACAGATGTTTCACAAAACATCATAGGTACTTTTACATAAGTGAATCATTTTCATTGAAATTGGGTCACATTTTGTTATACTTGAAATGTTGACAACCACTTTCTCTAGACCAGTTGTGATGTGATCAATTTTTCAAGATCCCACGAGAAACACACCCTTGTATATAAATGGTGAACAGGCCACATAACATGCCATTTTGGGATAGTATTTGTTTTGGAATAAAAACTTAGGGACCAAGACAAACCATGGGCTCTACACAAAGTTTGTATTGTTTGAGTTGAGGAGTTGAGACAATGAATTAAAGGTAAGAAAGAATCTTTGCCTTTTGGAATTCCAAAGGTCTGGCGTGAGCCTAGAAACCACTGAGATGACTGCTATTTTTGCTCAGGTAACATGCAAGGCTACAACTCAAAATAAAAAGGAAATTTTCTATCCAAACCCTCATTCTGCTATAAGACCTGTTGCTCATGTACCTGTTCCTACTCCACTGTAGACCTGAAATGTCTGGTGAACCACAACTTTTCACATAAGGTGAACTTAATGATTTGGGATCCAGACTTCTGGTTAAGAACTTACTTTCTCCAGGGACATCATTTGACTGGTAGAGAAATTATAAAAAGGAGTTTATACCATACTTTTCACAAGAAGGTTCACTGCTGAATTAACACCAATGCTCGGAGCTGCAGTTTATGAACCAAGTGGGTGTCGAGTGTTCATGGATTCTTCCAGAAGAAGTCTAAAAGGTGTTCTACTTCACCATGGTAACATACTTGCATCTGTTCCTATTGTTCATTCGGTTCACTTGAAGGAAACTTGCGAAAATCTTCTTCTTAATAAGGTCAAATACAAAGGATATGGTTGGCTACTTTGTGGGTACTTAAAAGTACTTTGTATGTTGTTGGGCCAACAATCGGGTTATACAAAGTTTCCATGTTTTTTGTGTGAATGGGACAGCAGAGCACGAAATCAGCACTGGATAAATAAGCAATGGCCATGCAGAGTCAGCCTGATACCATGATCGAAAAACATTGAACGTGAAAGTTTTGTTAACACAAAGAAAGTCCTATTACCTCCACTTCACATAAAACTGGGCTCGATACTTGATCTATGATGGCAATTCCCAGATCTTTCAGAAGTGAAACTTAAAGAAGGAATTTTTGTTGGGCTTCAGATTAGGGTATTGACTTCACATGAATAGTTTAAAAGGACAATGGGGAAAGTTGAAAAAGAAGCATGGATTACCTTTAATGATGTTATTAACATATTTTTAGGAAATAACAAGGACCCAAATTATGAAAATATTGTCAATAACATGCTTGATAAATTCAAAGAGTTGGGTTATAATATGAGCTTAAGTTCATTTCTTACACTTGCATATTAATTGTTTCCCTGAAAATCTCAGTGCCATCAGAGAAGAACAAGGGAAATGGAGAGGAGGTATTAGGGAAGGTGGGACATCAGCATGATGGCTGATTACTGCTGGTCATTGAAACGAGATGCTCCAGACATAATACATAAAAGAAAGACCACAACATGTAGTTTGAGACTATAAGATGTAGATTTCACAAAAAAATCTGAATGAATGAGGATGCTTATTCATTTGACAATCATTGTTCTTCTCTTTTCTTCAGTTTGTTTGTATTTTTATTAACAAACATAATAATTAAAAATGTTCATTGTGTAAATGAAATCATAATTTGATGTAAGTAAAAGTTTTTTTCTTCTTGTAAAAAACCCTTACATGGTAGAAAAAAAATGAATATTATTTTTGAAATTTGCATAGCTGAATTATGGAAAATCTGTTATTTAAACCAAAACAACTTTTATGAAGTCTTAATTTTCAGGCCTGAGTAATAATAAGAATTATAATTGGCTGTTTTGAGTGGATTTCTTTTTCCTTGTGAGTCTAACATGCGTGCTTTTTTTGTGCAATTTTATGTGTACAGTTTTAGCATTGAATAGTTAAGGTCTTAAAATGTTGTTTGAACTGAATTAGGGTTTTTGCCCCTAATGTTCTATTAGGGTTTTGTGCAATTCCTTGTGATCCCTATAATGAACCACTTTCGTGGTTCATGATATTGAAACTTCTTTTATCAGTTTTAGGTTATTTCTGTCAGTCTGGCCTTGGCACTTCTGTTTTTTATTAGGGTCTATTAAGCCTGTTTTTGTCATACAGCAATTAGTTTTCAACTTCTTGGTCATTTGGTTAATACTTTCACTGTCTTATGTCAAGTTTCAAAATGTCAAATTCTGTACTTTATCATGAATTCCTGGCTGGTTTATTCAAGAATGAATCTCTTTTTCAACTATCTTTGATTTTGAGTTCTTAGTCAGTTCTTATTGATTCACATCTGAGGTGATTGCAGTTGTAATTGGTTTAGTGGTTTAGGAATGTCATCAAGAAAGTACTCAAGTTTGATAATTGCTCAACAAATACCTTCTTTATTTGGGACTTTGGTGGTGGTTGCTCATTAATACCTCTGGATATGGGATTCATCTTTAATAGGTTTTTAGCTTTACACTGAAAAATATTCTGGAACACATTGGGATCTAATGCCTCTCTGAACAAAGACTGTGATCTTGAGCTGATGGTTGAATTATCATAACACTACTCCAAACTATTCCTTTGGATCTTCTGAGTCCAGATTTTTATTTGTTCATGGGGAACTGTGGTTCCAGTGTATTCAGACATAAAAATGCTAGTAACTTAATTCTATAGACAGTGACGTATTTTATCACTTTATAAGCTTGTCTTTTTCTGGGCATAATTTTTCATTGTCATTTTTGTTTAATATTAACCCAGTAAGGGCCATTGTTTAAATTTTAAGACACAAGTTTAAATTATTATACGTTAAATACTTACAAATGAATGGTTTTGATGTTTTCAGATTATGCTGGCATGACATTTTTTTACAGCAAATTGAGATTTATTTCATCTACCACTGCACACTTAGATTTTGATATTTGCATAGTTGACTTGGTGTCACTGTTTTGTTCTCAGTTTGCTATTATAGAGGATTGCTACAAAATATATTTTTATCAAATA